TATCTTCCTCTAGCCATATTCCCAAGAGTTATCAGTCTAGCGTCAGAGAGCTCGTTACAATCAAAGAGTAAGTGATCAGCTGTCTCTTCTGACCTATCACAGTACCTACAGATCGGTTCACCATCATATAAGCCCATCCGTTGTAAATGTTTCCTAAAATCGCCCATGACCAGTTATCAGTTCCACAGTTAATTTAATTCTTCGTCTGTCTAGTCTCAAGAGATCAGAGGCAAACTTTTTGGAAGGCCTAAACAGAGTAAGCTTGCTGACCCTGAGAAGGGGAACGTCTTAATGACGATTACTTTAATGTTGATTTTCACTATAACGAACCCTACTCTCCTTATATTTGTACTTCGCTTAACCAACAACTTAGTTGTAAAAATACTTAACTAACATACTCTCTTACCGCAACTTTAAAAATAATTTTTGTATGAGGTGTTCCTTAAGGTCGAGCTCGAAGTTAACTTATATAACTTAATATTGACGGTTTCACTTGCTTTGTTACAACTTAACTCTAATCTACTAATGACGACTAAAGCCCCCCATACACTATCCAACATGTTGGACGGACATGTCGGGATCCAACGTCTTGTCGAACATATTGGACAGTGTGTGGGTTCCGACCCGACATGCTCGACGGATATGTCAGGTTGGATGCTCGGTCCGATAGCACCACCCCACTCGAGCCGTCCGCCTGACCTGTTGGACCGTGTGTGGGAAACCGTCAAACTGCTCGCCCGACTAGCCACAGTTTTCAGTTTACTTGTATTTAGCGAGTTGTGTGTGATAACCGTCCCATTTTCCCTAATGTCATTTAATGATAATAAACAGTTCTGGTCAGAATTTATTAAATTCTACAGAGACCAGAAGGCGTTGTGGGATGTCAAAAGTAAACTATATTGCAACAAACATGAGCGTAAAGAGGGGCAGGATATCCTGATGGAAAAGTGCAAGGAACTGTATCCAGAGTGTGATTTAAAGTTCGTTAAAAATAAAATTGAAAATTTAAGAGCCTCGTTCCGTAGGCTCTAAAAATCTCTAAAAATCATCGCTAAAATCCCCCACAAACAGCTACAGTCGTCTCGAAATCCATCTCAGGTAGAGATGTGCCAAGCAGTTACTTGGGCGAAACAGCTGCAGCTAGTTCCAAGGTCGCCGTGGAACTCGTTCCAAAAGCAGTTCCAGCTGCAGCTGGTTTTGCCCGCTGCAGCTGGTTTTCCCGCTGCAGCGGAGCTATGGCTGTAGCGGAACGAGGCAAAAGGGCGGATTAACAAAATCTCAGTTTATTGCCAGCTACAGTCGTCTCGAAATCCATCTCAGAACTAATATTTCACCTGACTTGTTGGGTAACATGCTCGATAGTGTGTGGGAAACACCCGACATAAGTCAGGTTGGATGATGGGTCCGTCATCAGGTCAGGTTGTCAGGTCGGGTGGCATGTTCGATAGTGTATGGGGGGCTTAACAGCTGGGGGGCCTGAGTTAGTTATATACATACAGACAAAACACAGTCGTACTTATTGCTTATTTTAAGGAAAAGTGTGTTGCCACGAAACTGTGAGGTAGAATCAAAAGTAATAACTTAATCGTAATGCAAACATCTATAATGAGAACCAAATGATTAATGTAAAAGCTGAAATATATATTTTATATTTTAAATAATTCTTTAATTAAGGTTCCTGTGTTAAGAGAGTTTATTGAAAAACTGATATTTTACTGGGCACATCAAGGCATTTCATTCAAGTTTGCGTTTGATAGGTGTGTGGCTTACGATTTTCTCAAAAGTTCATAATCCTTATTAGTATAATAATATAGTATTTGCCGAAAATATATTTTTTTCTGGCGGTAACGAGTTTCTAAAATTAAAATGTATATTTATAAATCATCAACCGTTATGAATTTCCTAATTTCAATATTTTGTAGAACTTGAAAATCCACGGATATTAAGAACAGAAATAGCACGATTAAGATCATAAACGTTAACAAATCATGCCACTGGTGGAAAGTAAACATGTTATTATTGATACTTAAATTGTTTTATCTTAGTTTCAAGAATTTTATACTTTTCCTAACAATCAAGTTGAAGATATTAACGACATTAAATACAATATTATTTTATTATCTACGACTTAATCATCATTTTGATTTAATCCTCCTGACATTTTATTCCGTTTATTGACTTTAAATCCAATTGTCAAAATTGTTGGTTCAAAAATTATTATAATACCGGGTTGGTAAAATATGTAAACAAATCGTAAAACTAATGAGCATAAAGTGAGAAACACAAAGTGATAGGCGTGGGCAACGAGCTAGGGCATAGGCACGTGAAGACAGAATAAACTAGAATGGAGAACTGGCAACAGCGCACGGGAGAAGTAGGGGGGACAAACACACTGCTCAAGCGCTACAACGCATTAGTGGCATCCTATCCACACACTGTTGATATATACCGAATTGCGGCATGGTGCCACAACTAAAAACTAGAGTGTTTGATGTTGAAATGGAGTGTTCATTAGAAACATCGATATACACAAGGTTTTGGTACCTTCCTTCATCCACTGGTGGCCGCAGTTTGAAAGATGCTACAATTTGGTGTTTGCGAGTATTCGGTAAAGCCCCGTCTGTGTGTCTGGATGTGTACAGAGCTAGGGACTACACCTGTGGTCCGATTTCGGTGAAATTTGGTATGTAGGTTCTAATCCGTGGTATCTCCAGGCGTTTTTTTTTTTATTTTTTTGAAATTTTGATTTTAATGGGGATTTTTCCATAAAAACCGGAAAAATCAGATTTTCTCAAAAATGGCCCGAACGATTTTGGTAAAAATTTAGTATGTTGTACCTTTAAATTCTGAACAAAATGGTACAAATTCCATTTCTGTAAAAATTATGGTTAACAAGTTATTGCAAATTATGTTATTTTCCCATAAAAACCCCATAAAATAACGAAAAATGGGATTTTAGAACAAAATCTGGATGGATTTAACATAGTATGTTATGGTCCTTACAGTCTTGATAGTTTTTTTTCATTTTTAGAAATTTTGATTTTTAATGGGGATTTTCCCATAAAACCCCATAAAATATTGGGAAAATAGGATTTTCCCAAAAATGGCCCGAACAATTTTGATAAAAAAATAGTATGTTACAGTCCTTTATATTCTGAACAAAATGGTATAAATCCCATTTCTGTAAAAATTACAGTTCAAAAGTTATTGTAAATTATGTTATTTTCTCATAAAAAAAAACCCATAAAATAACAGAAAAATCGGATTTCCCCAAAAATGGTCCGAACGATTTTGATAAAAATTTAGTATGTTATAGTCCTTTAAATTCTGAACAAAATTGTACAAATCCCATTTCCGTACATTTACTCTCCATGCTTACACATGATAAAGGTTGCTGACAAACTTATAGGAGAAAGTATGTGTCAAAATGCTGATACCGTTTATTTTATTTATTTTATTTTTTTTTGCTTTAATACAGTACCTACCCTATGTTGTGCAATTCTTTTTTTACCCATCAACTTTTAATATGTAAGTTTTTTCAACCAAGTAAACTTTTAAGTAAGCGTAATACTGTATTTGAAAATTAAATCGTATTTTACAGTATTTTCATACATGCATCAGGGCCTCATATGATGTTTGCTATGCTATAATGCCTTATAAGGCCGGGCGCACACCTGATGCGGCACGGCACGGCACGGCGCGACGTTTTGCCTTATGCGACTAGATTTCTATTATTTCAAATGGGGGTGCTGCACACATCATCGGGCACGGCAAGGCAAGGCAAAACAGCGCCGTACGGCGCTTTGTTCTGCCTTTTCAATTTTCGTCTTTCGGGCAAAAGGCTTGAGGCAAAATGATGTGCGCATGCGCGAGGATCGACCCCACGTTCAGCGCAGATGACAGCCCCTGTCAAAATCAGTGTGCACGTCCAACGATTAGTAATTATGATTTTTTCCGGATCTGCTCTTAGTTCTGCAATGAATGGTTTCAAGTTCCTTTTTTGGTTGATGGGATGCACCCACGATTCTCTGTTAGGGAGATCATCCATTACATTAATTAGGTACCATCATTGACTATATAAACACAACAGTCAATGGTACCATATAGCAGCAATGGCAGCAGCCTTTTCTTCGCTTTCTGCATCCATTCTCAAAAAATGTGCAGTACAAAGTGTCACAAAATGTACAAACAACCTCATAACACACAGTATCTCACTTGGGATCGACCATGTGGGTGCTCAAGTCGCCTTGCCGTGCCGTGCCGTATGCATCTCAAATCTCCATCGGGCACGGCAAGGCGAGGCAAAGACGTCTCGCCTCGCCCCTTGCCGTGCCGTGCTGTATCAGGTGTGCGGCCGGCCTAAGTTAGCCTAGCTTAAAAGAAAGTTTTTTTTCAAACTAAGAAGTCCAATGATAAATTTTTTTGAAATCAAAGGTGGATGTTTAACTATTTTATACAACAGATTTAAACATCAATGTTTTCACTTCCTTCACTTCATCCCTCTCTGTTGCAAAGCACGGGTACAGCAGCTAGTATTTAATATTACTGTAGTATGAAGTACAGTATGATTAATAATAAAAACATCTTCGCATAGGAAACGCAACAATAACGCGCTCCTGTATTGCGGGTATTGCAGAGACTTTCTGAAGTCGTTTTTAACTGTGTGTACATCTAAAAAACCAGTTGAATCAGTTTATCCGCTAATTCGTTTAGCCTATCCGTTATGACCCTGGTCCCATACATACAGAATAAACGACGTTTTACCTTTAATGTGGCAGTAGACATGTCAAAAAGGTATTCTACACCGTTGTAAAATTCTGATATTTAACAAATCAACATTGAACATCATCAACATATCAAACACTATCTACTTTGAGCAAACAGTATTACATATTACTATTACATGTAGCATTGTGTAGCCTCGCTAGCTGCATTCTCCACTCTGAGCGTCTCTTTGTAGTTCAAATAGGCATTCATCTGGGTAAAAATTGGCAAATAGCTTTAAAATCTTACAACAATAAAAACTTTATTTCTTTCTTTAAAATTCAAATAAAATTTTAATTCATAAATACAATTAAAACCAAAAATGATAGTTGTTATTTAATTTGTAGTTATCTATCTCCTCGCGATGTCATCTCCAACATCTGAAACAGAAATTTAAAATATCATATTGATTAGCCTAATCTAATACTGCACTTTACCCCATCTTAAAAATAGTTATGATTGCATTACCGATATTTTAGTTTTGAGTAAATAAAGAGCTTGATTACACAACTTCATTTATGAAAAACTTTTAACTTCTTAATCAGCATTGTACGTGTTATTAAATTTACAGAAACTAAATTAAAGATATGTCTAATAACACTTAAAACAGATATTTACGCTTAACTGTTAACTCACAAGACGGTAAATGATAGATGGTATGTGGTGATCAATTTCCATTGGACACTCCAATCATCAGACCCAATAGACTGGGACTGGTGGCGTCGTCCTGTAATCCAGCTACTTGGAGGTCACGGATTGTGGATATTTATAGGCATGCACTGTGGATGGGATACTCCCTGGTGTGGATTAACGTCCGCACTAGTGAGTACTACAACTATCCGCAGTACTATCCTGATAATTAGACCAATTCGTATATACCAAGGAAAAAAATGTGGTTCGGATTCCACTATAAACTGTAGGTCCCTTAGTTGCCATTAGCTGTTTGGGCTATTAATTAACAGCTGTGTCTAAGGAATGTCGGCCTTAGTCACTAACAAGACTACAAGATCGCGCCACTCATCTTACACTCATCTCCATTCATACTTGGCTTAAAATACCTACATTGTATGGTCGCCATTTCATAAGAAAGTATAAAGTAAAGTAGGCAAATGACAATGGGCGGGTCAAGTTTTATTTTTACGTTAAAAAATTAATTTTAGCACAACTAAATAAATCCCACCCCTTATTATGTAATAAAACTATTTTTCGTAAGTTAAAATATGTCCATTTAAGATATTGTGTTTACGATCAAACCTAGCTAACCACAACCGAAATTGAAAATATCATTTGACAGCTAAAAAATAAACCATAATGTTAATATTGTTTGTTTGAATTCCATCCAGTTACATCCTTTGTTTATCTTTACGATCCCTACCGCTTCTATTCAATTCAGATGTTTTAACCTGAAAAGCTACCGTCAGATCAGTGTTGATCAGAAGGTAAAGGTAGGCAAAATTTTTATTTCACTATTAGTTTTGCCAACACCACACTGTTAACAGTTTACAGTTTGTATATTTATGAGACAATTGTTTTTGCAAAACAATTTCATTTATTATCCTCTGCAAGTAAATATAACACACGCTTTCAAATTAACCTTCCTAGACATAATTTAGAATTCTACACCAAAAAACCTTCATATACAGGATTAAAATTTCTTCAAAAATTACCCATTTCACTTAAAAAAGAAAATAATACAAACAGATTCAAAAGCCAACTAAAAGACTTATTGATAAGAAACCCATTTTATTCTATCAAAGAATTTTTAAATAGTAATTTCGAAACGTTCATTTGAATTCCAGATACTAACTAGTTTTACTCTGACGTAATTGATTTTATAATTTGTTTAAGTTTTAAATTTAAATTTAATTATTTGTTTAAATTTATTTATTTTGTACTAAGCTATCAATATTTTACTCAAAAACACACTTTATTAGTTTCCTTGTAGCAGCAAACCTAGGTAGGCTACTCGTTAAACCTAATGTTATTAAAATATATTTAACTGAAAATCAATTCAGACAAATGGAAATTCGCTTAGTCGGCAGGTTTGCTGCGGCGGGGGTATTATATATTAGTTATATTTATATTCTACGCATAATTTTTTTGTTAAAAGTGTAATAACATGGGGTTTATCAGTAAAAATATCTTTGTTATGATACTACTTTGTTCAAGCATAATTTATCTGTCGTTTTAAGTTGTTTGATGATTTTATGACCCTTTTTACCATTTTTACATATTTTAGCGAATTTCCCATATAGGGAATAAGCTATTACCGTAGTACTCATGATAAGACCTGGACGCGGGACCGATTTTTTTTTCGTTTTGAGGTCCCTAGAGGCCAAAAACACCATCCGTTCAAATTCATATATATATATATATATATATGTGTCCGTCAGCACGATAACTCGAGCAAAAATGATCCGATTTTGATGAAATTTGGTACAAACGTGTAAACGTACGTTTATTAGAACGAGTTCGCGATCCAGCATGATCGGACCATGGGAACGGGGGTTTACGGGGGGTTTTATGGGGTAAAAATAGGTTTTTCCCATTTTTGACCCAAAAAACATAAAATTTAGCAATTCTTTTCCAAACCATTTTGTAGAGCTTAAAAAAACAAATAATTTAGTATATTGAAGCGTTATTATGCGCCTAATGGTTACGGAGAAAATTCCAAAAAATTTTAAATTTAAAATTCCCATGTTATTCTTATGGAGAATAAGTAAACTCTTGTAGTTTGCTTGTTTGTGAACATATTTTGATCAAATTTGGAAAATGTTTTTATTTCTTACTAACTATTCACATTTTACAAAAAAAAAAAACAGTTTTACCCTCCCTGATGCAGCAAACCTAAGTACTTGTTAAACTAATTCTATTTAATTAAATCAAGAATAAATGTTATATTTTTAAGTAGACATTTCAGTGTAAATCCAATCAGTCAAATGGAAATTCGCTTAGTCTGCAGGTTTGCTGCGGCGGGGGTATTTTTAATATGGTGTTGTGGGTAATGAAATTGTTCGGAATTTAATGAGGAACCATATTTAAACATTAGTTTAAAAAAAAATAATAAAAATAAAGGAGCTAATTAGATACAACTGGCATGATGTGACCTTAAACCTGCCTCCTACCAGGTCTGAGTTGGAGACCAAACACCATTGTTCTTTTGGGCCCGAACCATCTCATTTGGGCTCGGACTTGACTCGTGAACCCACCGGGATTAATGATCAGAGCCGGGACTATCTGTAATTGGACTCGTGAACCCAACTTTTAAAACCAGGTTTTATCCCTGCACTAATTGTGTGCAGCCTATCAGTTCGGTCCGCGGCTTATAAAGTCTCGAGCCTTATGTCTCTTTAAGTCGAGGCCCAAATATCGGTTATTTCCGGATTCTGGGCTCGGACTACGATAGTCCCGAGCTCGTGAACCGCCCCTTAGAGGCGACTTAAAAAATCGGGTTCACGAGCTTGAGACTATATAAGCCGCGGACCAAACTGATAGGCTCCACACAATTAGTACAGGAATAAAACCTGGTTTTAAAAGTTGGGTTCACGAGTCCAATTACAGATAGTCCCGGCTTTCGATCATTAGTCCTGGTGGGTTTATGAGTCACGTCCTAGCTCAAAAGAGATGGTCCGAGCCCAAAGAATAATGGTATTTGGTCTCCAACTCAGACCTGGTAGGAGGTAGGTTTAAGTTGACATCATGCCGGTTTTATCTAATTAGTTCCTTTATTTATTTTTTTATTTTTTAACTAATGTTTGAATATGGTTCCTCATGAAATTACGAATCCATTAACGAATCCATTACAATATTCTAAATTGGAAAACACATTTTGGTTGTAATATTATTTCAACATTTTACAGCTAGATTATTAAAGAGTGTAAGTAAATAGTCAGTACCGGTACCTCTAAATACATTTTAGTTTCAAGAATTGTACCATTTAAATAAGTTCAGTAGTTATAATTAGCCTTTCCAAAAATCACCATTCAAAATTATCGGGCATTTATGCAAAATAGGCATTTATCCGGTTATAAATACCCAGTTATTTAAGGTCATGCAACTTAATTGAATTACATTAATGTACACAGAAATATACATTTCACTAAAGACTTCCATTTTCTGATTTCATACAAACGTGGCTTGTGGTGTTTATAAATCAATAAACTTTGATAGATTATTATAGGCGAGCATTGACACAATAAAATACGCGAGAAATAATCGTTTTGGACGTTTTGGTTCAGCCTTTTTTCACGATACTCCTATTGTATGGAAATGCGTATGTCAGCAGCAGTGGCTTCACATGTGTTTCCAGGCTGTTGTTACCAGCGTCTCAACAAAAATTCCCTGTGAATCCCTATCATTAGGCTCCGCTTCGGATTTGGTCTAGACCAACAATAAGCCCGGCTATCCCATCATTAGGCTCTGACTCATGAACCCGTTTTTTGGTCGTCTCTTATATAGTCCGGGACCAACGTCTGGTCGCGGACTATGAAGTCCCGAGCTCGTGAGCTTAATGTTATTTAAATAGATTTAACTGAAAATCAATCCAGTCAAATGGAATTCAATTAGTCGGCAGGTTTCCTGCGGCGGCGGTATTTTAGTTTTGAATTGATAATAGCAAAAATCAACGTGTAGGCTACAGAAATTAACACACATGTACATTATAGGCTAAGCCCATAGAAAGGCCATTAAAACGTAAACGGTCAAACCAGTTTGATCAACAATATGAACGTACTTCAGAGGATGAGCTCATCCAAAAATTTGAAAATAGGATTAGTGTTGAGACAGAAGTAGCTGGACACACATGTTTCCACACACAGGTTTATAACACAGGTTTTATAACACAGGCAACACACAACCAACATCGCGGCCAAAGTACGATGCAAAGACGGTACAGTAATTCAAACGAAATCTAGACCTTCAATGACTAGAGGGGAGAAAATTTCAGTGCCAGTGCAAGTTCATAGAAGTGTAAATTATTTTTGTTTAGTTGCATACTTTTAAATTACAGCTAGTTGTTATTATTTCAGCGATCAAATGTCTATGGTTTGTAATAAAAATGTTTTTCGTGAACTATAAAATGTCTGTTTATGATATTGTTTTAACGATAAAGATTAAACCCATAGTTAACCACAACCGAGCTAGGCTCGGTCCCCCGGTACCGTACTGAATGGTTTATTTCACATCAAATTGTTACATACAAGTATTAACATTTTAACAATAACTAAAATATCAAACTAACACAAGCATATTATACACTACAGAAAAAACTGAAAACAAAAATTTGACTTGCCGCATATGGTATACGTTGACATTTGGAAGTTCTGCTTATAATAAAATCCTTGTTGCTACATCTAGGGGGGTGAGCGAGCTGGTCTAGTGGTTAGAGCGCAAGACTCCGGTTCCTAGGGGTCCCGGGTTCAAATCCCGCCAAATCACCAATGGATTTTATCTAAGTGATAATGCCGTAACCCCTAGGTCTAGCCTGAAGAAATGTGAAAAACAATTCTGGGCTCATGCCTAGTGTCCTCTAAAAAAAAAAAACTACGTCTAGGGATTTATTAAAATGTGAAATTATTGCATTCATTTAACTTACTTTTTCCATCACAGGCAACAATCTTGACTCGGTCTACCTTTGCTACTTCTTGAACTTCTCGGAATTCCACATCATTTAACATAAATGTCCATACATTATCACAAAACCTGTAAGTGTTGAGCTTCCCTGCCTGGAAAATGGTTACAATTTAATTGTTATTCAAATATGTCATGAATACAGGATAATCAAGTGCAAATATAATTGAAAAATCACACAATGTAAAAATTTTGGTTTAAAAGTTGATGCAACTTATGTGATTTTTCCTTAAATATCATAGTTACTCATCGCTTACCTATGATAAAGGTTGTTGACAAGCTAATGGGAGAAAGTATGTGTCAGATTGCTGATACAGTTTATTATAACATTGGTTTTGATGATACAAAATTATCTTCAAGGGCTGCCTCATCAATTTTTAAAGGTTGCTCCCATAAATTTTTAAAATGATGAATAGGCCTACTTAGTAATTGTTTATTGGTTATTTCTTTTTAAGACATCCATAACATTATATGAAGAGGTGATGTCCGTATGTTTGTGTGTTTATACGCACTAAACGGAAAAACTACTGAACCAACTGGGCTCAAATAGCATACAAATAAAGCCACAGCTCCGAGGATACATTTAGAACTATTCCTGCTTCAATACTCACCTAGGACTCTGCCCCATGGGCTTTCAAAGTTCTGAGGTGAGAGTTTGAAAAAGTGAATATTGCTTGGTCTCCATACCATTGATAAGACGGAATTAGTAGTCCAGATAAGATTAAAAGAATCACTCAAGTATGAGGTATTTTAGTTGTCATTTATTTTTAAGACATATTATACCAAAGGAGATCTCCCAGTTTTCATCCACCCTCATGTTTCCGAAGTTTTACTTCTCCATATCTTCAAGCCAACATGATGAAAAAACTTATTTAGTTACCATTGCATTAAATTTGTACCTTGAATGTCAATCTAGATTTCATCCTGGTTGCTAGCGCATTGTTGATAGACTTGTCAAACTGAAGTAAGACTTTTAAAGCAAGGCCTGGTGTGATTTGTCCATACTAAAACAAATTAAGATACAATTAGAGATCTTTGTTGCAAATATGGATAAAAGATCTTACTTGTGAGATGCATAATACTAAGGCATTTTTACTGTTATATCATCAACTTTTAGCAAATTTCCCCATAGGAAAGATGTTATTACCGTACGTAGCACACTTTGGGACCTATTTAATTATTCATTTTGAAGTCCCCAGAGTAAAGGTAAAAAACACTAGGGTACAATATGTGTTGAGGTACCAGTAAATGTTTACCAAATGGACACCACGGATTTCCCCCTGGAACCCATTACAAGTACGACAAACATTTTCAGAATTAAATTCAATTTACAAAATTTCATTTTAGTAGAATCTTTAGGTTGTACTCCATCATACAGTAAAACACATACAGGCAATGAAGTACGGTATTGAAGATGGACGAAGTAAGAGACACAGTGACAGGATGATGGGATCGGCGACCTGGAAAACGTACTGCAGCAACCACAGTGCGTTATCATCAGCCGTCTCCCAATAACTTGGATTCGCTAAGAAAGGACGCAATTCATAATTATTTTGTATTTTTGAAAAATGGTATTTTAGCGAATTTCTCATGTAGGGAATAAGCTATTACTGTAGGTCTCATGGTAAGACCTGGACCCGATTTACTTTTTCGTTTTGAGGTCCCCCAGAGGCCAAAAACACCATTCGTCCAAATTCATATATATATATATATATACAAAGTATTCAAAAAAGGTGGGGGAAAAAATTACATGGTGATTCCTTGGGTCAAAATAAAGAGCAAATCAACGAATAACATTTTTTCTAAAATCGCTTCGTTGACCAGATATCCACCATTTTGTATTTTTTTATTAACATTTTTATCTTTGAATTCTTCCAACCTTTATGTAACTAATGTATGTTATGGTAAAAGAGACCCATGTTAGAAAGAAGTTCATCTTCATTCAACGTTAAATTTCAAAATGGTGGCTATTTTACTTAAATTACTAAAACTGGCTGATTTTATGAAAAAATTTCAAGAACATTTTTATTTATCATTTTTAATTCTCTATCAAATGATACCAGGTTCAAAAAGATTGAATAAGTAATAGCTGAAATATTACGATTTTAAGTTGTAAAATGGAGTAGAATAAGGCAGAAGCTAGTCAGGAGTGCCTCATTACAACTAAAAATCGTAATATGTCAGCTATTTCTATACAGAGTGTTCAAAAAAGGTGGGGACATATTAAATAAAGGCGATTCCTTGGGTCAAAATAAAGAGAAAATCAAGAATAACATTATTTCCAAAATCGCTTTGTTAATCAGAGAGGCATATCCAAATTTTTTTATTTTTTACATAAACATTTTGTATTTTTTACGTTAACATTTTTATCTTAGAATTCTTTCAACTGATCTTTATGAAACTTGGTATGTATGTTAAGGTATAAGAGACCCATGTTGGAAAAAATTATTCATCTTGATTCAAGGTAAAATTTCAAAATGGCGGCTATTTTAAATTTTTAAACTTAAATTGCTCAAAAATGGCTGATTTTATGAAAAAATGTCAAAATGCTAACAATAATGAACACTTTTAATTAGAATTTTTTATTTCCTATCAAACGATATCAAGTTAAAAAATATTGAATAAGAAATAGCTGAAATATTACGATTTTTAGTTGTAAAATGGGGCAAAACTGACTAGCTTAGCCTTTTTCTAAGCAGTAAATTAGAAAATTTACTTATACAAAAAATTTTTTAGAAAATTAATCATTAAAATTAATAATTAAAAAAAAGGAAATAAATCCGACAATTTTTAGGAAATAATTTAGTGGAATTCCAGCCAGGTAGATGGAAATTCGCCTAGTCTGCAGGTTTGCTACGGCGGGAGTTAACAATTAGTCATAATTATAGTCATAGTCACTGTCAAATTTCTTTATTTATATTGTATATACATACACTAGCAGAGTACCCGTCGTTCGTACGGGGTTGGCATATAAAGTGTAAAATGCTTATTGCAGTTATACTCTAACTTAGCGTTTGCAATGAGAGAGGACACAGTTTGATAAAATTTCCTTCTTTAAATTTATGGTATACAACAGTACTACACATCTACCATAGCCAAAATGTTCTACCACTTCACCTAAACAATAGAGAAAAATAAATTATTAAAAATTCGCTAAATATCACAAATTACTCATGAAATTAAAAACATAAACATAACTGTAAACAATCCTACTTTTTCAGTTCTCATTGCAAATCACAGTTCTTTGTTGCTGCTTAGTTCAAATTAGCTGTTTTCATAAATGCAAAAAATAATAGTGCTGCACCCTGTTGGTAAATCGTATAACTTTTTAATACTTTTGCATATCATAGAATTAACTTTTTAAGTTGAAACAGCTGACTAAATTCTTTAATTCCCTTTAAATATGAATACTCATAAGGTTAACATGGGGAACTACAGAGCCACTGGGGCGGAGCCCGAAAGGACTTTTGAGATAAGAATGCGCCTATATGTTAATGGGGAATATGAGCTATCATCATGCCAAATTTCAGCCCAATCCGTCCAGTAGTTAATGCGTGATTGAACTTCAAACAAACAAACAAATAAACACACAAACTTTCACATTTATAATATTAGTAAGATAAATAAAAATTCCCTGCCGCAGCAAACCTGCAGACTAAGCAAATTTCCATTAGCCTGATTGGATTTACACTAAAATGCCTCCTTAAAAATATCACATTTATTCCCTATTTAAATAGAATTAGTTTAACGAGTACTTAGGTATGCTGCAACCGGGAGGGTAAAAAAGTGTGTTTTTTTATGTTAATTGTTTAGTAAGAAATTAATGTATTTTCCAAATTTTATCAAAATATGTTGATAAACAAACTACAACAGTTGACTTATTCTCCATAAGAATAACAAGGTAATTTAAAATTTACAATTTTTCGGAATTTTTTCCGCAACTATTAGGCGCACAATAACGCTTCAATATACTAAATTATTTGTTCTTTTTTTAAGCTCTACAAAAATGGGAAAACCTATTTTTACCCCATAAAACCCCCCATAAACCCCCGTTCCCGTAGTCCGATTTGCGAACTCGTTCGAATAAATGTAGGTTTACACGTTTATACCAAATTTCATCAAAATCGGATAATTTTTGCTCGAGTTATCGTGCTAACGGACACATATATATGAATTTGAACGGATGGTGTTTTTGGCCTCTAGGGACCTCAAAACGAAAAAGTAAATCGGTCCCGGGTCCAGGTGTTACCATGAGCTATGAGGTACGGTAATAGCTTATCCCCTATATGGGAAATTCGCTAATAAGGCAAACTAATGATAATCTTACGGTAAATACTGCACTAGAAAAGACCTGGTATGGATCATAAACATAAACAAAATGACGTTTTTGGCCTGAAAGTAAACAAAACCATACGTTAATTAATGCTATTATTATAGGTTTTGTTTATTTTCAGGTCAAAAACCTCACTTGTTTATGTTTATGATCCATACCGGTATTTTCTAGTATTCGCAGATTTAGCTAACTGGAAAAAAAAACAATAATCAAGAATTTTTACATGCTAAGTTTAATTACATGCCTCTGAGCATCTCAAAGAATCAACTAGAATCACAAAATTCTTCCTTTGAATAACAGTTTTTTTAACAAATAAATTTTAACCAGATGCTTAAAGTTTTGGTTTTTAATTTTGCTTTTAGCGAATTTCCCTATAGGAAAGTAGCTGAATTACCGTAGGTGGCACGGTAAGACCTAGGCCCGGGACCGATTTACTTTTTAATTTTGATGTCCCAAGAGGCCAAAAACACCATTCGTTCAAATTTGTATATACAAATGTAGGCCTATTTAGTTTTATATATATATACACGTCTGTGAACGCGATAACTTGAGTAATTTTTGTCCGATTTTGATGAAATTTGGTTTAAAGGTGTGAGGCAGGATAAACTTGAATGAGTTCGCGACCCAGCATGAAATACTTACTTTCCGTGCCCGGAAATCAGACTTCGCTTTAAAAAAAATTAGCTACCGATATGGCTTTGTCATTCGCTTGTAAAAGATCATCTAATGTGCAAGACTGGTCTAGGCGTGGACAGATTTGGACCAGCATGATCGGACTATGAGAACAGGGTTTTACGGGGGGGTTTTATGGGGTAATTTTTTTTTCCCCCTCAATACACAAAATTTCCCAATTTCTCTCTAGACCTTTTTAAAGAGCTTAAGAAAACAAATAATTTAGTATATCAAAGTGTTTTTGTACGGTTATTAGTAATGAAGAAAATTCAAAAAGTTTTTAACTTAAAATTTCGATGTTATTCTTAAGGTGAATATTGTAAAATGTTGTAGGCCTAGCTTGGTTGTTTGTGGATATATTTTGAAAAAACTAAGCAAATTTATTTATTTTGCACTAAGCTATTAATATTTTACTAAAAAAACCACAATAGTTTCCTTGTAGCAGCAAACCTAGGTACTCGTTAAACCTAATGTTATTTAAATAGATTTAATAAGTTTCAGGTAAATAATCCAAACATTAGAGCCAAAATGAGTAGCATTTTTATAAAAAAAACTAAGCCTATGCTGGGTTAAGTTTAAATTGTTTTTATGTCTAGTATTATGAGAATGAATACTACTGCGCAGATCTAATTCATTATATTTATATTTAACACCCATTATACATTCAAGGATATATATTGGTCATAAACTAACAAAATATTATGCTCAGAAAATTTATTTTTCACTGATATTTGGTCTTCTAGATTTAATACAATTCTCAAAGCTTCCTTCTGAAATATCAAGATTGTATCTAAGTTGCTTTTACCTGTACCACCATAAACAGCTAAACCATAAGATATGTGAGAGTGGATATGTGTGAAATAAATAGTTTTTAAAGTGTTAAGACTACTCTACATAACAAAGACATTTTTCTAAGAACATACAGACCCAATGCAATTTTGTTAGCCAATTTTAATGTAACTCGTTGGTCCCAACTAAGATTATTAAAATTGTCAACTT